AGAACCAGAACTTTGTTCGTCTTAGTCGTTTGTGTGACGTATTAAACCTGGTGACACCTCCAGAGTGTGTGAATTGGTTTTCGCATTCTACAATTTGAATGAAATAAAGGCATCTATATAGCACAGAAAATATACTACCAACTAAATTTTAAGCTGATTAATGTAAAAAAAAATTTTTAAATACCAAACATGTATTTAATAGAGTTCTACAAATTTATCTAATTAATTTTACATTTATTTTATTTGAAATACTGTATTTCAAAAAAAATATTTAAATGAGATCCTTATTGTCCATACATTTCCCTTCCAGGACCGAAGGATACCAAAGTAATCTAAATCAGGATAGGGGCTTATTAACCTATCTAGTTTGTCTATCTTGCGTAATATTGTAAAGTCAAGGACGAAAAATATTCATGAATTTTACGATAATTTTGTGTTTAATATAGTTCATACTGTAGCTAGTTTGAAACGCTTTAGAAAATGCAAACTGGATTAAAATTGAAGTTTAATTACCTATTTAATAACACTTGTATTAAAATATGAATGATTTCATGTTTTAAATTAATATTTAATATTATTTAAATTAAATCTATGTTTGAAATTAAAAAGCATATCTTTGATATGGTTTTTCATTGACAAAGTTTGAAGAAGATCAAAGCATGAAAAATGACTATGTCAGACAGAAAAACCCTGTACAAAAACATAAAAAAATGGCATAGAAAGAAAAAAAATTAATGCCTTTTCTGCAAATGCAGGAAAATCGAGAAATGAAGTAGGTCCTATAGATGCATAAACAAGAAAAAAGGAAATGATTTATAATGGATGTAATAAAATTTGGGTAAAGTGATTGAGGAAGAAGCAAAGAATAAAATGGAAAATATATGAAAATAAAGCTGAGACATGGAGAAGAAGAAATAAGTAAGGAAGCAAGAAGAGAAATGGAGAGAACAGAAATGAATAAAAAAGGAGGGGTAGAGGACATAAAAATAAAAGTGAGGAAGAAGCATTAGCAGAGAGGGCAAATTAAGAAGAAATGAAGTGACTGAGAATATGAAGAAAAAAAAAACCTGATGATCGATACAATTTACATGACTACATGACTACTACTGTACAACACAAGAGTTCAAGGTCTCGTCTTTTCATAAATTTACAGTTCATTGCAAACACAAATATCACACAAACATGGAAAAACCCACTACTATTGTCACAAGATATTTTTACATGTACTGTACCTCTGGTTGAACAGCGTATTTTAAGGTAAATATCTCATTAATTTATGTGTTGTTCAGTAGGATATATCCAAATAACTTAATGATTAAAAAACATGTCAAAAAACTAAAATATTACTGTATTTGAGTGTCTGTGGATATGAATTTGTAACACTGATAAGTCTACCATAAAACACCTTGCTGTGTACAAATATGTGCAAATGGTAATCAGTATGGAATATCATAATTCATATTAACATTCATAGGTGTGTTCCTGCAGGCCGTAAATTCAACATTGATCACATTACTTTGTCAGCTGAAAAAAGATTTACACATTCTTTTTCAATGGTCCCCACCCTCATAGAAATGTATTCTTTATCATTTTTATTTTGGAATTACTCATTTGAATAACTTTAGATTTTGACACCAAGGAATATGATGTGAGTGCAAGACAACAGCATTGTCACTTCATGGTGTAAACATAATACAAGCTTTTGGCTGCAAATAACTTCATTCAAAATTAGTATTAATTGTTGCACCTTACATCAATGCTGTTATTTTACATTTTTAATTTGTCTTTAGCTGTTGTAACATCCCTAGTCCATTTAAGCATGCTTATGCTCAACCAATTTTTTAAAAGTGATTAGATTATCCAAGCCCGTAGCCAGGGCGGGTTCGTTGGGTTGGAACGAACCACCCTTTTCATGAAGTGCCCTTTCAACAAAGGCTGGCTAGCCTACACTTTAGGCCTAGTCTAGAGCCTATCATCTATAAAAGTCCTATTTTAATATACCAGATTGTTAGGCCTACCTAGTAACATAAAAAATTCAGGCCCCGAAACCTTGA